AGAGGGAAGGTTGAACTCGAATGTCAGTGCAGGTCTTCTGCAACAGTTGATACCTCCTTGCATTTTGAGCAGTGCTTACATAGTGCTATGCCTGTTTGCTACTGTTTAGCTAGTGGACGGAAGTCCACTAGGTTTTCAAGCACCAAAACTATTGAGTCCTAATCAATAAATACACATTTGAAGAAATAGCAGATATCGGGGTGGTGGGGGGGGATGTTGGAGGGAAGTAGGTTTTGTGGACCTGGAGAATAACAAAATTAGTCTATAATGACTGATAGTTTTTCATCCTATCCATGTAATTTCTCCTGAAGAACTGGGAAGAAATTGTAGTCATCTACAGACAATACTGATTCTTCTGGGTTTTTTTAAATAATTAGTATACTTTTATAGAAACTTGACCTGTAACTACAGAAACCCTAGTCTTGTCAAGATGGAAATATATTTGGCAGAAGTTGTAGCAGTGAATCATTTACCCTATGAATTGTTTTGTGCATTTAGACTTTATCAGTCAAGGGTTAATTGATAGACCACTGATGATCATACAGATTACTATTTCTGATGTATCTTTGATACCATCACTATTCTAATTGAAACAGTTTTCTGGGAAAAAAAGTGCTTTGGAGTGAACCTACTGATGTCCTGTTTGTTATATGAAGAAAACCACCAAAAAGACCCTCACAACCCCTCAAACACTATAGTATTGTGAACACCGAACTTCCCATATAGCAGTATCCTGCATACTTAGTATTTGTATCTTAAGAAATTTGCAGTGAGTATTATGTACGTAATTCAGTGACATGCACATTTTTAAAGCCCGTTTGTAATAAGTGTGTAAGAACTTATGATGATAAATGTGGAGCACAATAACCTGACCTATTAGCCCGGTGACTGCATAGTTAGAATAAATGTAATTTAATTTTGCTCTTTCAATTCAGTTTTGCAAATACAAGAAATATGTCAAGTGTAAGAAACCACTAACTGCATTGTATGTGGTACTTAAGATAATAGGGATGTAGAAACATGGCTTTTCACACTGAACGGTTACTTCAATTTTGTTTTGACAGAGAAAATAGTATTATCCTAAT